GAACTTACCTTGTCCGGATTCCTCTGCCATAGTAGGTATGACAAGTTGCAGCGTCGGATCGTGGACTTGGTACATCTCCAGACATTTCGCCTGCCACTCCTAGCACCAAGCCAAAACCCATCTGACCAAACGATTCTGGCAACACTCCTTCTGTCCTGGTACATCTGCCTACCCCATCTATTCATATCTCCCATCCTCTCTGTCACAGCTTCTAATTTGTTTGCACTACACTGCTCCAGATGTATACCCTTTTGAGCGGGTTTCGCGAGGCGTGATCACATTTTCCGCTGATCTTCTTGCCCACGCCTGTTGGGCCAGAATGGGTGATCCGAGTTGAACCTTACAGTCCGCACGCAGCTTCATCCAACTCTCATCCGATTCTTCCTCGTCCCCTCGACAAACCGTCTTTTGTCTTTACCGGTTGACTAAGTTCTTTCGGTTCCAGCCACTCTGTATCTTTTTGCTCAAAGCGCTATTTCTTATGGTTTGGCAGAAGAGCTTGATTGCCCGTCTTCTGTCGCCTCACTGAGCAGGGCCCCGAGGCCCTGACTCCCAAGCTTGCAAGTGTCGTCCTGGCGCTTTAGACCAACTGAACATTGTACATCACCTTACATCTCAGTTCGGCACATCTGTCAGATTAATCTCATCTGTATGTCCCAACCCGTGTCTCTAGTCTCCACTGTATCTCAAATGGATCTGTAGTCGAATGGGCTTCGATCCACTATTCACAATGACCAATTTCTGTGTCCCCCTATTCCCTTGTGCACCGGATCCCAAAGTTTAAATTTTTTCCTCGAATTGGCCACGCTCACCAAAGACGTCTTCTTTTGATTTACAGATCGTCCTCATCTCCCTCCGGCTTACGATCCCTTTTACTCTGGTCAACGATCGATCCATTTTGCTGGTTTTGTTGCTCCCCTGTTCATTAGATTTCTTTGAGCAAGGATATTTACGCTTTCCCTACAGATGATATCGAGTTCTCTCGATGCAATATATTCCATTATTTATGATCCCTCGGTATCCATTTTTCCTAAAGTCTTTAGTGTTTTTTTTATTTTTACGTTGAGACGACCGTGAACAAAAGCAGCCGCCTAGGACGTCTTTTGGTTATGGACACTGATGACGGCGGCCAAAAATGGAGATGGATATGGTCTCATAAACATGCGATTTTATGGGGGGAATTCGGGGCATCCATCTCTTTACTTTGTCGGTATAGGGTAGGCAAGAGGCCATGTTTTATAACATCCAAATTCCTTAAACCGACAGTTAAAATCGACTTCTTGTTCGGCTTCTTAGCATGTACATGCAGGCGAAGAGACAACAAAATATATTTCAGACTTTCCATGTCTCAGAATACGACTTCGCATAGACGCCTATTAATAAACCTCGGAAGGACTGGTACTTGGAAGGGGAAATTCGGAAATACGCCTCCGAACTTCCGAATGCCATCAACCGAGTCTGGACGTCCTATCCCCATGGAGACGGCACTTCTCTGGGAGAGCTTATTCCCGAGCCGCAGACGGACAGAACAATCAACTCTAGATGGAGTATGATCCGTCTAAACATTCGCGTCCCTGAAAACACCCGATCCCGATCTTATCTTGGTTAGAGTTCGTACTATAACACGGAAAATGGAGAGTTGCTGGTTCCTTATAAGCAAACTGGGCCTTCCAGAGTTTATGAGGTACGAATAAGCCTTTAATTCGACTACTGGGCTAAACGCACACTTTCGCACACCCTCTCGCACACACATACACACACACAGTACACATACAGAGTCGAGAAAACCGGCTGGAGCTTGTCATTTTTTTGGCAGATGAGCCCCGTCGGCAGGTCACGAAGGGGCGATCATGTGGTCAACGAAGCAGCGAGTCTCTGGAATATCTGCGTATACACCGACGTTGAGAATGCAGGATCATACAAAACAGCTTGTTCGAGCCCGACGGAAGTCAATTATGACAACCAAGAAGTCAGTCAACGCCCGGCGCGTCAATGAAATGGGTGGCAAATGCGAATTTTCAAAATTTACCACCTGCTTCATTGAGGTGTTCTTCCCGCGATAACAACTTGTTATCAGATCATTCTATGAAATTAGCCCAAAATTAGAGTTACTGTTGACCGTAAGTTTGTCGACTAGGTGAATTTGGGTGTTTACCTCTCGTGAGACCAATATCTGGCGGTGACGTTTACTGTCTGTCCATCAGGCCTTCGCGCACTCGGACAAGCGAGGATGAAGGTCCCACCCTCTGGGATCTCTTGTATCGGAATCCGAGTG